TTGAAGAAGATCGATGAGGAACTTACAAATATTGATCAGCAGCAAATTTTGTGGTCAGCATTTCCAGTATTTGTCTATACCTTCGAACTTCTATGTTCAGTTTCAGTAGCCATGAACTTGACAAATTACAACATGGTTGTACTGCGATCGACGTTGAGAGCAGGAGCGAAACCCGCTGGAAGGATTTGTACACCGTTGTAGCTGCTCGAACTTATCTAAAAGTCTTATTTGATCAAGTGAGAAAATTTACTCCTAATTTCTTTTGTCAGTTGTAAGGAAGGAAATTTCTGTTAAATTTTGCGCAACGTAGACTTGTGGTTTATTCATAGGCTGCTCACGAACGAAGAACTATCATTGATAATGAAAAGGAAATGAGACAGTTGCAGAGGAAGATTAAAGATCTAGAGGGTGCCATGCGTGATATTAAGGTAACCCGCCATAGGAATTCAAGCTATTTGATTGATATGCCCCTCTATATCCATGTTCTCTTGTTTTGAGAAATTGATAAAATTTGTCACAAGACTTTCTTCACTGTTTAATATCTCCTTTCACTGAGTCTGCGCTTCAGAGGAAACACGATGATCAAATCCACGAAATGAAGGAAAAGAATAGAAGTCTAGCAGCGGAGTATGACAAGCAAAAATCCGAAGCAGAAATGCACGTAAGTTCTAGTTTCAATATATTATTTCTCTTAATACCTTTTACATTTACTTGATTCCCTCTTTCTCGTTAATACAAACTCTTTTGAACTTGAAATAGGTACTAGATTTTGGAATTCAAAAGGGTAGTTTTTGAGGAGCACATGAATCGTCTCAGTTTGAAAGAGAAACTATATAGCTTGGATGAAGCACAAGAATTCCAGTTCCTTAATCTGATGGCACGAATGAACGCATGCAAAATGGTGGATAATGAAGTGCTAGACGAATTCAAACGACTCTGCGATAATTTCGAACATGCTAGTCAAATTCGCAATCGAGTTGGAAAGAGCGAGGTGGGACTTTTCGTTTGCTGCCCTGTTACCTCAGGACAGAATTATATTTAGCCCCTGCAAGCTCCGAAACCCAAACGACTGAGCAGGTCTCGGTCTTCATCTTGTATCAGTCCTGTAGTGATAACTACAGAAGAAGAAAGGCGTACTCGTTCAAATCGTGCGCGTATCCACCGATTTGGGGATGTAAGTTACCGCTTTCTGCACTTTGCAATTTGTTGCACCTCTCATACTACAATAAATTATCTTAAAGACGAAAAATCCCATCAAAGAGATAGAATCTGACTCGGAAGAAGAAGAGAGTGTTGTAGACACTTCCTATCATCCTTCACATGAGCGCCATCCTCATCAGGCTGAGAAGAGGAAGAAGAGGTTGACAATGGTGTATGTCTGTAGAACGGCTATTTACATTACATAATATTCTGTGGAAGTAACAAGTAGCCTTTTTAGTACCGATTTATCTCCTATTCCTGATCTTACGCAACTCCATCATGATAGCGCCAGTGAGAACCCTATGTCACCCCGAAGTCGACGCCAGTCAAAGCTGTTACATCACCCTCCTTTAATATTTGAGAAGGAGGACATAAAAGAGGTTTTATTTTGGTGCTCGCAATGATTCCGCTAATTGTATCAAATGTTAGTTGTATCAAACGCTTTTCCAGAATATATGTAATACTACTTTTATTTTGCAAAAGCCATCCAACTGTGAAGATAGTGGAGATTGTACAGTGAGTTTCCCTCTAATTCTACACAGTTTTATGCTCGCTATCTGAGCAATTTTTTTTCAGCCTGATGATCCGAATCCGTTAAGAAATGCCACGCTAGTCTCTGGATTGGTTCCTGATGTGGATCCAGCTCTTGGCCCACTGTAAAGAGATGATCATTTATAATAGTCAATGCTAATAACCGTCATTTGTAACCTGTTACCCTGTAATATCCTTCTTTTCATATATTAATCTATACCAACAATAAGCTGATTTGCACGATTTGATTGCAGTAGGTGTACTGTTCTTCTGCATATTCAAATACAGTATAAATGACAAATTTCACATTTCATCTTGATCAAGTGTTTTATCACAGATATTTATGCAAACATTTTTTTGAAAATTGTTTTCTCATGCCTCTTGACTATTTGGAGGAGTATCACATCTGATGAGCGATTCAGGACATTCTTTTCCGGAATGGACACCTCCTGAAATTATTTCAGCTTATTCGGAAAAGGTAAAGCGTGGAAGTCATTTTACATCCACACATATAGGACACTGAAGTAAAATCAAGTTGCTCCTAATTCAATTTTTTTACCTCTGCTGATATTTTATCATTAGTTCAGAATGTTAATGCTTTGTTCGAGTGGCAAGCGGAAGTACTAAAATGGGCGGAGGCAAACGGCGATAACATCGTTTATTGTGCTCCAACCAGTGCTGGGAAAAGCATTGTCGCAGAGCTAATTGGTATATTAAAATTTGTGATGGAGATATTGATGAAATATTATGTTTGCAGCTCTCAGAGTGGCGCTATCAGGTAAAAAAGTCCTCTTCTTACTGCCCTACGTCTCAGTAGCAAAGGAAAAATTGCGGTTCTTACAGGTGTGAACTTCTCATTCCTAGCAATGGGTCACTTTCGCTTAGAGATTTTTCAATTTTCTTTCTGCGATAGAGGAGTGTGTCATATGTTCTTTAGATACAGTGCACAGGTTTTGAAATGTCAATTGGACACAAAATTTGGAGGAACTTTGAAAAAATTTCCAATTTTTCTTCAGTAATTATAATTTTACCTTCAATACAATCTTCTTTCCTATACTCTTCGCGAGTACATTTAAATTCAGCTGCTAATTGCAGCGTGCATGGCGTCGTTTGGATATTCAAATGGCAGCATTCATAGGTGCCCAGTCAGCTCCATCTAGAGAATGGACAGCTGCTGTGTGTACGACAGAAAAGGCGAACAGTCTCTTGAATCACGCTATGATGGATGGTTCAATGGATGTATTTGGTGAGTGTGTGGCTATTTATCTTCGGAATCGAACTGATTACTTGTAAGTGAAGGCCTCATTGTTATCGATGAACTCCATATGGTTTTTGATTCATCGCGTGGTGTCGTTTTGGAATCACTCTGTGCTAAGATCAACTTGTGGAATTTACGGTAGCTTTAACTCGTTTGCAACATCGTTGCATTTGTGTTTCCATCTTTCAGCAATCCTACGGCTAAAATTCGTGTAATAGGTATGAGCGCAACACTGGAAAATCTAGTTTCAGTTGGCAAGTGGCTGCATGCCAAGGTAAGTCTTGAAAATCAGCCCTCTTTTCTTTCCGTTTTCAGTTGAAGGAGATAGGCAGGAAATTACCTATTCTTGATGTGAACTTTTTTTTAGCTTTGAGCTATTTTGAACGCACGTAGATATATTCCAAACTCTCGCATAAAAGGTTTGAAGACTGTGAGTCTGATAGAAATTCGCTAAAATATCTTCTCAGTAAACGACAAACATATAACTACGACACCTCAAAATACTTTGTATTGAAAATACGACTTGAATTATTTAAAAGACTTTCAGTTTTTAGGTGTTTGAAACACATTTTCGCCCCGTTGGATTGAATGAGCGTATCTGCTGCGAAGGTCACATCAGTGAGCTTACCAGTGGCA